ACATACTTCTGCATCTGGACTAAAATCCCAATCCAGAAGATCCAGATATGCTTCAGTTAAAATACAATGTGTAGCCTGCCGTATAGAGTTAATATCTGATGGATCACCTGTAATCTTTGTAGGATCAAAATGCCTTAATAACCACCTTTCCGTGTATTTTAAATCACTTCCATTGATTTTTAAAAACTCAGCAAATTTTGCTTTTTCATAGTCAATACTTAACGCAACTATATTTGGTCTCATCATCGTAATCGTAAAGTTTGCTAAATCAAGTCGCATTAGTTGCAATACTTCCATTATACCTCTAAATATTTCGATAACATCTGTTTTTTGATTAAGTTCTCTGATCATGCTGTCTCTTACTGGTGCACACACTTTACTCATAATTGAAATAACATATTGTGCATAATGCTGGAAGTCTAAAACACCCTTTTCTGCTTGCTGTTTAATTAAATCTATATCAAGCACTTCTCTTAAATTTTCCCGAATTTTTGCATGGTGTGGAAATACCAGTTGTTCCAATATCTATAAAAAATGAAAATTATAAACAAATGTGCATCTTAATGTAAAATTCATATGGTTTGTAACCATACTTCTTTAATTTCTTTTAATAACACCAATGCCTGTGTGTAATTTGGAGGTTCTTCGGCTAACTGTTCGCTTAATAGATTCCAAAATGCTTTGTGCATGATTTCTTTTACTCTTTGATGAAATGTGCCATCTTCAGGTTCAAGTTTTTGAAGTTGAAAATTTTTATCCACTGCAATTTCATGAGCTAGAGCCATATTCTTCATACCATTAGCAGCTTTTATTATTTCTTCAAGAGAAACAAATTTTGGTGGCGATGCATTAACCATACAAGTTTGTGTCTTTTGTCTAGACAATATCAATTTCATAATAAATAATGTTACTTCAAAATTTATACAATATTTATTAATAATGTATAAGTTTTAATCTTTTGACTGCAAAAAGCGCCTTTAAATGACAAACGAAATTTGTTACTACATTGCATGAACATTTAAATGTGTTCATTGTTAAACGTGACAACTATATTTCTCTATTGTACAGAATAAGTATCTTGCTTCTTTGCAACCAATGATCACAAAATTAAGTAAAATAATTGAAACAATTACCCTTTCTTGATATCTTCTCCAGTATTAATATTTGTTTTAGACTGACAATCGAATGATGTAGAGGGGTCTGCATCTACATCATTACACCTTACATTGCATTTTTCTTCTTCACTATTTTCCATTTTCAGATTTCTATAAATTATATATTCTTATTATATAAACATTTTATAGCCCTACTAAAAATTATGAACAGTAAATTAACTTTGGTCTAGAATATATTAGTAACAAGTTATTAAACTAAAGCTTTCATAGATAATTTTACATTTAAAATAATTATTGTATATATTAGAAATAATAGCTGAGAATAACATTCTTAGAATAACAATAATTAGAATAACATTTAATAACATTACCAATCTTAGATATTTGCGAGTAATGAAAAAACAATATAGAATGATGCTCCAAATTATTCCACCTCTGATAAAAAATATATTCCTAATAAACCAATATTTAACTGTGTAACACGAAATATCTATTAAAAAAAAATTATTTCATAACATGAAATTTATAACACATTTTTTAAACAAAAACTTTCTATTAATACATAATTACAATATTAAAAGTAAAAAGACTACCAGAAATTCTGTTGCTAACAAAATCAATTTAAAATATAATGTATCTTATGTTTATGTATATCCTATATAAATGTATATCCAAAAGTCCAATTATCATTCTTAATAAAGTCATAATTATACAATCAATAAATTATATTGTATTTAACATGTATTTTTTAAATATTTTGATGTATTATTAAATAGTTTTGAATATTTATATAGTAGACATACCTATCTGGCATAATTAATGTTGAATTTAAATATGTTGTTGCAACATTATCTGCACTCAGAAGCAGCTGGCTGTTGAATGCACTGGTTACTGAACAGAAAGAGGTCAAACTTTGTCTATAAAAAGAACATCTATAAGACATCTACATACAAGAATTACATTTCCTACTTGTTCTTAAAGGATTTATAAAAAATCTTAATCAACAACATATCTCATATTTATATGTTACTTAAATTACAAATTTAATAAGATATATATTACAATTCTCAATATTTATTTTCTTGTATATATTTCAAACAATAATATAGCCTATAAACATAGAATTAAATAGTTAAAATTGTCAGCTAAATGAAAAATAAAAGGAATTAGCAGTTTGTATTTGTTATTTATGTAGAATAAAAGTGTTGTATTATCATACATTGTAAATACTTTTATTAAAGAATAAGAAATTACATTGGAAATTGAATTTATCAATATTTATAAATCGCACAATAATTTTATCTTAATGTACACTTTGGCTTTTCTAAGCAATTCAGGCAATTTAATTATGCAAATATCTGTTTGTTTACAAACAAACAAATTAAATAGTATTTAATCTTAGCACATCTTAATAACACATTATTTACCGAATAAGTTAATAATTTCATAAACCTGTTTCAAATTTGCCTACTTTCAATTTTTAATAGTATTATAACGACGTAATAACACTTTCATTAGAAAGTTGAAGCACACAAAATGAAATCTTACCTATTCTAATGTGTCACCAATATTTGGATACTTATCACAAGATTCATATTCATATGTTATATTTATCCATAATTTTATATCCAAAACATGTTGTTAAAAAATCAGTTATTCCATATATCAATGAACTGTATACTACGTATATTGTAAGTAAATATGACTTTTTAGGTTGATGGTCAACAGTGAAGTTAGGTACTCATATGTATGTTTTAAAACAGTGGTGTCCTCTGTATACACACATTGTTTTTATTTGCGAAAGTACGCAAATTTTATAAATTACAGTTTTTCAAAATATTTACTGTAGAGAATACATCATTGAATAGTTTTGGAATTTATTGCAATGACACTTTGCTAAAATGTAAACCATTAATAATAAAATTTAAGGAATTATTTTTTTATCGCTAAAGCCATCCGCTAATAAAATAAAAACATATTGCATTTTTTTAAACAATAAACTTAATAATATCATTAGCTAATCCTCTTTGTAATATATTTGTGTTTTAATTAGGTTTATGCATCTTTATTTGCATTAATATATTAGTGTACATTAATAAAACAATTTCAACACAATTAGAAATTGACTATATCTGGTAATATAAATTTGAAGGTAAAATCCGTATTTGTATCGTAACAATAACAACGTTTTAAGCCTAAAAAAATTCAAGGTATATATGACATTGTCTTCCATGAAAGGTACTGTGACTCATTGTTGACTACCTTGGGTCTGTCGAATCTTTCTGGTTCTCACACAACATGTATATTCTTTGTTCAATCAAAATAATCGATATATTTGTATGTAGTATAATATGATATAAATATATATGATTTTTTAAATTACTTAATTTTTCATTTACTTCATTCGTCTAAAAAATCATTGTCTGCTTAAAACGATTTGTACTCTTTTATTTTAAAAAATTCTTTTGAAAATTATTTTTCAGTTCTCAAAAAACGGATACCCATATTTTTTCCATAATGGAGTTCTCATTTTACCCAAGTTTTAAAAAGAAATTCTGCGTTAATTGTATATTACAATTAAATGTGTGTATAATTATCGTATCGTATAAATACGATAACGACTACTTTTGGATCGAAATGACCCGGCATTTGCTGTGCGCATGTTGAACCATTCAACCTTAGTTCAAGCTGTTTACGAAATTTGGAATAACTTTTTTTTACAATAAATAACATATAACATAATAATTGAAAATAATATTGCGATGAGAACGATTTTTAAATTAATAAAATAAACATTTTGCATTTTCATATTAGTTTCAGTATATTACCAATTTAATATATACACATAACTTTATAAGTTACTATTAATGAGATTGTAATATTAAAATATAATCATATATATGATATTTACTATACATATAGTTGATTATATAGTATATATAATCACATTTAGAATTTAAATTGATATGAACTTGTATAACTTTTACTATACAACCTGTGTAGCTGTCATTCGTTATCAATGTGTGTTGTTATTGCAGATTTTAATAAATTTATATGTTTCTTAACATCCCACAATAAATTGCAGACATAGTAATTTAAAATTTATGATTCATAAATAAATTGCAACTTGGTTATAAAAAGCATTAGGTAATGGAGTGTCTTATGTCAATTATACATATTAAGAAAACTGTACAGCAACTTCCAGTCGTATGTGTGGACAACAGAGCCGGCCGCACGCGCCACTACCATATTGCATAAGGGCAAAATTGGCTCGTCAAAAATGTTAAGTTGTAATAGAATTGTCGGACGATTGCCAAAACTTACAAGGCATTCGCATGTTAATCATTTTGGTCTTTTAAAATATTTTGGTAAATATGTACACCATTAGTTTTATTAATTTAGTCGAAAACCTTACTTTAATTTTCGAATTTTTAGATACATGTTTATCTTATTTTTTATATAATTGTTGGTTTTACTTTGTCATGATTTTAATAAATAACAGATTTTTGTTATTATTACACGCATGTGCTTAAACAGCAATAATTTTTAATTTATATTATTTTAAATATGAAGGAAGTGTGTTTCGTTTGAAGTTTATACCACGCGACATAACCTTAAAACTCGTACAGTGATATAGTTAAGAATTAATAAATACTTCTTTTAGTTTAAAATATGACTTCAGAATATCTTCTATATTATATATTTATTATGCTGCAATAAAATATTAAAAAATTGTATTTATTTATTTTTGAATATTAATATTTTAATGGAAATATATGGATAATAAACATTAAATTTAGAACCATATAACTATGGAAGTATACGGATAATAAAAATTAAATATATAATCGTATAGTTACGGAAATATATGAACAGTAAATATTAGATTCATAACCATATAATTAAGGAAGTATATCAATAATAAATATTAAGTTTATAACTATATAGTTAAGACAGTATATAAATAAAAATATTAAGTTTATAACTATTTAGCCATCAATACATTATAATTATTATAATAAAATTTTGATTACCTTTTAGGAGTTATCAATGTTAATAATCTACGATATAATAGCAATGCTAGTGATAAGAAAACGTACAAGTCTCCAGGTACTACCATAAAACCTGAGGAATGTGTACCCAAAAGTAGGTATTCAGAACCAAAGAGAACTGTCCCCGCATGTGAATCTTATCCTAATGCATCTTGTCCATCATCTTGTTATGAAGTTTGCGGTAAACCACCGGAATCAGAGAAATGTAACGATAAACCACCATTTACACCCCCTTGGAAGATACTGGGAGCCTTGCTTATAGCAGGAGTTACAATATACATGGTAAAATATTATTCACTCTACGTTAATTATATTTTATTGTATTTTATTTTATTTTATTTTTTTTTATTTTATTTTATTTTACTTTATAATTGCATTTGTATACAATTTTGGATATAAATTATTGTATAAACATTTTGTAAACAACTTTAAATACATTTTATAGTCATCTTCCCTATTACTGAGTTCAAAGGAATCTGAATCTCAAAAGGATGTAAGTAAGAGTAAGTTGAGTTAAGTCTATTATTTTTTATTTATTATAAACCATAAAAAATGATAATTAATTATTTCTTATGTTGAATATTTAGAAAAGGATGAGAAGCGACATAAAAGATCATTGGAAACAATTAAATCACCACCTAATTCTACTTTAATTCCCCAAGAAGTACCTTATCTTTTAATAGGAGGTGGAACTGCTGCTTTTGCTGCATTTAGATCAATTAAATCTAGGGACCCTAAAGCTAAGGTGTGTAGTATATTTTACTCTAGTATTTCATAATTTGAGAACAGCTGCATAATTAAATAGTTCCTTTAGGTGTTAGTAATAACAAAAGAAAGTGGTCTTCCATATATGAGACCACCATTGTCAAAAGAACTATGGTACAATACAGATAGAAAAGCAAGTGCACAGTTAGTTTTTAAGCAATGGAATGGAAAACAACGAAGGTATTTGTTCAATAATTATTTATATGCAGAAAAAGTAATATTTTTACTATTTATTATATTCTAGTGTATTTTATGAGCCAGAGGAGTTTTATTCAAATGTTAGCAATTTAGTTGAATCTGATAAAGGTGGTGTAGCTGTTGCTACAGGGTGGAAAGTTACAAAAATTGATGTTCAAAATAAGATTGTGACACTTGAAGATGGTTACGAAATAAAATATGACAAATGTCTTATCGCAACTGGTAAGTTTAATCATTTTATTTTTATGATATAAACAATCTAATTTAGTTATAGTTCTGTTTCTACAGAAGGTAGAAAGAAATAGGAGGAAATTTTATATTGTTTAATACATTTGATCATTTCATAACACAATTTTTTTTCTAATTTCACGTGGATCAAAACTACAGTTTGGTTTGATTGGTAAAATCACCTATATATACTTTTTTAATTTCCATATTTTTTTCAGGCGCTTCACCTAAAAATCTTCCTGTCTTTGAATCTATTGAAGATGAACTTAAAGATAGAATTATAACATTTAGAACGAAAGATGATTTTCTTGATTTGGAAGATAGTGTGCATAATACTAAGTATAAAAATATTGTAATAATTGGGGGAGGATTTCTTGGATCAGAACTTGCTTGTTCGTTAGCTCGTAATTGTATGTTCTTCAGTGTTTGTTTATGTAGTAAAATAATTAGTTACTATAAAAGAAACTTTATTAATATTTTTATACAGTACATGAAGATAAAAATGTATATCAAATATATAAAGAGAAGTTTATAATGGATCAAGTATTGCCACAATATTTAAGTGAATGGGCAACAAAAAAAGCAATAATGGAAGGTGTTCAATGTATTTCTAGTTCTGAAGTTATAGATTACTCCTATAAAAATGGAAAATTGTCGCTCATTCTTTCACAAAATCGCACTGTATGTTTAATTTTTATGGATTTAAATATCTTATTGTAGTTACATGTATACCATTACAACAAATGCAAATTTTCTTTTTTAACTTACTATAAACAGGTTGATGCTGATCAAGTGATTGTAGCAGTAGGTGTTGAACCAAATACTGAATTGGCAACAGTTTCACATTTAGAAACAGATCCCGATGTAGGTGGCTTCCTTGTAAATGCAGAATTAGAAGCAAGAAGCAATCTTTGGGTTGCTGGAGATGCTGCTTGTTTTTATGATATTAGGCTTGGTAGAAGAAGAGTGGAACATCACGATCATGCAGTTGTTTCAGGAAGATTAGCAGGAGAGAATATGACTGGTGCAAGTAGGTTAAAATTTACTCAGTATGTTATATTTTGATACTCAATATCATACAAATTTATATGTAAATATTAAGTGGAATATTTTTATTTTCACTAGAAAAACCTTACCTACATCAGTCAATGTTTTGGTCTGACTTAGGATCAGATGTTGGTTATGAAGCCATTGGTATCGTGGATTCTTCACTGCCAACTGTAGGTGTTTTTGCTAAAGAATCAGAATCAAATAAGTCAGTGTCAGTTTCTAATTCAAGTGAAACAATTCAGTCTTCAAAAGAAATGGTAATAAATGAAAAATTCATTTTGAACTTGTGTTATATTTTTGAGGTTTTTATAGTTTATATATTTCTAATGCAGAAATTGACTTCAACGCAGAGTTCTGGAAAATCTGAATTAGTAACACAAACAGAAAATACCAATGATCCACAAGCGAGTTCAGTTCAAGCAAATAAGTCAGAATGTGATGATCCAAAAGTAGCAACAGAGGAACCTAAGAAACATGCTGATTTTGAAAAAGGAGTGATTTTTTATCTAAGGGACGACATTGTGGTTGGAATAGTTCTTTGGAATATCTTTAATCGGATGCCCATTGCTAGGCAGGTGAGTGCCTAAAAGATAAGATTCATGAATATGAAATATAGAAGCAAGATATAATTTTCCATGTATTTCACACAGGTACTTGCTAGAGGCACAAAATACGACGATTTAAATGAAGTAGCAAAACTGTTTGCAATTCACGATAATTGATTTCGTAGGCACAAAAGTATGATGAATACGTGACAGCATTGTGTCATCGGTGTATATAATATCATTTACCCACTTCTTTTGAAACATTTTTATGAATAAAAAAAATCTACAACTGATATGTTACTCCTGCATTTAAAAGGTACGACCTGTATAAATATTGCACATAAGAATATTTTTGAAAGGGAAGTATAAACGCATATGATTTTATAAACTTTCAGATGTTTATTACAACATTATTAAACTTTATTAGACAATAAATAAAATCTGTTATATTAGTTAGTACATTACAGTTCAATAGTATTCATTATTGTAAATATACATACATATATACAAGGCATTTAATAGGAAATATTTTGTAAGATAGCAAAATGTCACAAAAGTACATGTAATGTGAATGGTATACAACAATAGATCTTTGAAAATTATTAATGTGAGAGTTTATACTGCTACTCAAATGTTCCCCCTTTCTTGACTTTATGTTACTGTAATGAATAGTTATGAGACAGTAACATGATTTCCTTTTATAAAATATTAATACATATTCATGCTTCGCGTAACGAATTAAAACTTTTTATAGACAGTTTTGGCAAAACTTTGTTACCATATCTTTTATCCAATGTATCCATAAATCTGATATAATTATGACATTGATAGTCGTCTAACGTCTATATACAAAAATTAATTTGTGTATATGTATATGCATTATATAATTACATATTAAGAATTTTATAAATATATAAACTACGTACCATATGTTCAGGCCACATTTTTCCAGTTGTCATATGTTGCATTATTGTACGTTGATTGTGATACAAAAGCGATATACAGTAATATATTATATAATCAGGTGAATACAGTACACAAATGGCAAAAAAATGTATAATTTGAGACCAAGATAATATACCCCAGAAGCACTGAGATATCATTAAATTGCATATTAAAGACCAATTAATCCCAGAAGCATCCTACATTAGAGAATAAAGTAATTAAGAAAATTCTTATAAATAATTAATATAAATAAAACATAAGTTAATATAAACAAAGAATTCTAGGCAATAAATATATATGTACTAAAAATAGACATACATTCAGAAATATACTGTATTAGTTATTACCTTAAGTGCAAACTTGATATGCGGAAGTTCGTTACTAATGATAGTTTCCAAAAGTTGCATAAATGTAAATTGAGTAGTACCTTCTTCCTGGGCATTTTTATCTACGACTTTTCCTAAATTTGACCACAAAAATGTAGTTACTGGGAATTTCATTAATTGTGTAATAAATAGTTTACATCTGAAATTAATTATTACATACCAGAGTATTTTAAGATAATTTTAAAGGTCAATGATGATATATAATATTCTTATGTGTAATGTCATTATAATGATGACTAAGTTTTCAATCTGAGACCTGCTAATGATGATATGTGACTAGCTAGAGTTTCCCTAATATTGTCTATTAATATTAGCCATTTCAAATAGCTCTTTAATAATGTTTTTAGTTACCCACAAGAAAATATTGGATGAGCTTTTGAATTTTGCTAATAAAGGGTATATTCGCGGTCAACTGAGGCATTTATCGAAAATATATTTCATACCATTTTAATTATTAGTTAAAATGCAGAACATAATTTTCATAAAATAAGTTTATCAACATAAAATCTGACTGAAATCGTGAAACAATTACGAAGTGATATTTCAAGGAAAACTAAACTAAAAAAGTATACAATTTTTATATTATTTTTAAATAATTTTATATTCACATATTCGTAAAATCTTATTTAATGATATGAATACTTGAGGCATATTAAAATTTGAATTATTTACAAATAAATTTCTTATTAAAGAAGTCTTTCACAATTATACCTCAATATTGGTTGAATTATGCAAATGACCTTGTAATCGTATTTGATTCAAATATTCAAACTTATGAAATTAATAATACATACGTTTCTATATCACCTTCGCAAATAATAAATACTGTTGCTAAAAACCAATCAAATCCATCAAATTTTTTTGGTCTCTCATACTGAATAAATGCATAACATGTATTAATAAATCCTTGTAATTTTGTCTTCATTTCAGTAGTATTTATTAAAATATTATTCTGCTCTGCATAATATAGCGTTAAATTAATTCCATGTATTTCCTCTGCAAACCAGAAATCTGTATTTACTGAAACATTTTCTTGCCAATGATAATTTTCTTCCCATTCTGCAGTAGGAATTGCTTTTTGCATCTGATCCAACAGTTGTATTAATACAGTATTCTAAAAAGGTATGATGTATATTTAGTTATTTCCCTGTTTTATAAAATAAATTATAATAAACATAAAATATGATCATTCACCTTCATTGGTTCAGATGATGCTTTATAAGCTTCTCTAACGTCTTCAATCCAATTACTATCTAACAAACCAGGTTTACTTTCTTGAAGTAAATTTTCTAATACTGTTCTATCCTCAACTTCCGAGAAACATGTTTCTTCTTTATTCACCTTTAGAGTTTGTAATACTGATACATCATACTCTTCTAAATTAGTATACTCTTCATTTTCAGTTTTAATAAAATGTACTTTAGATATAATTTTATTTCGCATCAAAATGCAGTCATCGATAAGTTCTGTCCTTGTATTTTCATTTTCAAATTCTTGTAAACTTGAGTGTTGAAGTTCTAATATAATATTCTAAAAGAATATTGCTGTTATAAAAAACATGAAAGAAATACAATTTTTTCCTTTTATTATAAAATGTATTTACACAATACCTGAAAATCCAGTAATTCTATTAAATAAACATAAATATTTAAATTCCAAATTACAGTATTTAATGATAGAAGTCCTAAGTAATGATAATTTAATTCAGGATTTAGTGCATTCTTAAAAAGTTCGTATAAGTTAAGTGGATAATTCTGTTCCTCATTATTGCATGATTCTTTTGTACTGGTCATAAGTGCTGAAAAACCTATATATAGATATAATAAATAGATAGCTAAACTTTAATACGAAATGCTAATATTCTAACATAAGTATGAATAATATTCTTACATTTAAAATTCAGAGAAAAAAAGGTCAGTATATGTAAAAAAGTGTGAATACTTTCATGATCCCACGGATCATGAAAGTAATACAAATCTTCTAATATTGTACATGTATCTGAAAGCAAGGTTGACAAAATATGTGGTGCGAGATTCGCAAGCGTAGTATATCCCAAATCAAAAAATGCAGCAGTTGATACAAAATTAACCACTTCTGTTGATGTCCATGACATTCTTAAGGGTGCTATACATCCTTCTATTAATTCGTGAAATACAGATGATTCTTGAACAATAGCTTTCAATCCAAATGGTATAGACACCATTTTAAGTAACAACGATATAATAGCACTGTAAATGAAAATTTCTTTTTTATGAATGTATTCTATTAACAAATAAAGGTCAAAGAAAAATGAAAATTACCTATTTATCTGTTGAACTTTATTTTCATTCTCAAAGTAAGTTTTGTCTAATTTATTATAAAAATATGATACAGCAGGATAAAATTCCTTTTCTATTTTATATTGTACAATTTCATAAGCTTCAAACACGTCAAATAATTTTTCCAGTACTTTGAATAATTTAAGAAGATATTCGTTATTCATTATAGAAAAAGGTTGTTTTAACATGTTCGATGCTATTACTATAATATACATAGCAGGACATTTTGTCACATTATTTTCAAAATTGACTGTGTGTTCCTTACATTCGGAGATAAGAAATAGCGAACCATCTGTTGTATCCAACATGTGTAAGATTATGTTTAATGTATGTGGCCATACTTTTATATTATTTTCAGATAAGGAAGGCAAATGACATAATGCAATGTGATAAAATTCAAAACTATATAAACTTGTTGGCTTATCTAAAATAATTTGTAAAGCGTAGCAAGAAATGTCATATACGCCATTTAATGTATCCACAGATAATTTATTTAAGGCTTTCAAAGATGCAGTTAGAAAATCAGAAATGGAAAATGGCTTTTCGAAAATAGTTTCTTCTAACAGTGTCCTGCCTGCCTCATAAGCGCAAAGTTGTGACACAAAGCATAAGCAATGAAGATAAGTTACTGTTTCTATTGTATTTCCATTAATGATTGCTTCCATCGGTTCATCGCAAATAGAAACTGATACAAAATGAGGTGGATCTTCTAATCCTTTTTCTACATAATTCATTATATTTTGTAATATACTTGGCGATTTGCCTAATGCAAGTAAGAATAGTCTTCTAGTAGCAAGATTAACAATCCACTTTTTGCTCCAATTAGCACATGGTTCTAATATAGCAATAATATTCAATATATTTAATGTTTTAGATTGTATTGCATTGCCAAATTCATGTGTGCTAAAAAAAGTTATAAATGTTTCTATTAATTCTTCTGTAGATTTATCAGGATTTCTTGCACATTTCAGCTTTTCGTTGTGATACTGAAGTATTAAATGTACAATACGAAATACTCTTTCATGTAAAAAGAACTTAAAATTAATTCCAGTGAACAAAGTTGGTAATATTTCAAATGTTTTTTGAGAATGATATTGAGCATTAAAGGCATCTAATAAATTTATATATGCATCATATGATTGCAAACATGTTAATAATTTTGCATGAACTTGCAAGCTGGCTTCAAAAATGGGTCTATTTTCATCTGTGAGACTATCCAATAGAGCTTTTTTAAGTGAATTCCATATGGGATTGTTATTTACATTTGATAAATCATTTTTTAATAAAACTTCATAGGCAGCTAATCTAACATGAGTAGGTTTATCATTACTGATTTTATCAAAAATAATATTGTAATATTCATCATTATTCAAAGGAGAATTCCAATCTTCGCTTGTTTGATCACTAAGACAAGAAAGAGAAGACTGAGGTCGAGAATCAGAAAACAATGTTGATGCTGATTTTGAAACAGATTGTTCAACAAGCGAAGCTCTCATTGAATTTAAAAAACCAGGCATTTCTTTCGAATGTATAATTTCTTGAACAATGTCAGTACATTCCATGTTTTCTTCCAAGCATTTCTGTATATTCATTTCAAACTCTTTCTTTAAACACTTTTTTATCCATTTCTGAAGATTTAGAGAAATATTATGTTCCATACTTGAACAATGATAAAAATATATTTACCAAACCGCAATTACAGTAACAGTTATGTTTTGAATTAGTTTCTATGACTACCAGTTAGGATAGGTACAGGTATTGTAGAGTATACTTTGTATAGTATAACAAAGTTATAATTTTCTTACTTTCATAAGATATGTTTCATATCTTACAATAATTTATTTACAATAGATAAAAAAAGTAATTCAAAAGAAAATTAATATTTTATATATATATACAAATTATAAACATTTTATATGTTAAATATATTGTATAAATCATTAGAATTTCATGTATCTGTGTACATATTGCTTAACGTATAGCTACTATAATGTTCGGAGACTTTGATCGCAAGCCATAAATTCCTCCTTGTAAGGAACATACTCCCATAACTCCACACTTTACAAGAAAATCTACAAACTATCAAAAATTTATCAGTTACAATATTTTTCAAGAATCAACCATAATATAATATTCTAATCAGATGTGTACCAGAGCATTATTTTGATCGTGAGGCCCAATAATTACAACAATACTGTTTTTATTTTCCGCAATTGGTTTAGCTTGAGGTCCAAGAGTTTCAATTTGAGTCTGAGAAAGTTGTACACTTGTAAATGGAATATTAATACTTCCTGCTATGCTACCTCTTTCAAATCTATGAAAAAAATTTAGTAATTATTGCAAAAATGAATTTCCATTAAAATCTTTTTTCTTGTATGGATATAGTACTTACTGTATATTATTACGTATGTCGACAACTATTAACCTTTCAGGATTATTGTCTAACAAATTTAAGAAGTCATCAACACAAATTGTCGGCATTCTTTCAGTGCCTGGCTCAGGTTCTGACCAATTCATATCCTTTAAGACAACATAATGATTTTAAGTTTTAAATATAAAATAACAATAGTAGTGCATAAATAACTGCATGTATAAATGACTTCTATTGTATTTTCACAAAAAATAGCAATGATGAAATCATTATATTTAGAGTTGTATTTATTTTTGTTTGGAAAATGCTATTAATCTATCTGCAATCTTATAAAGATGTAAATATTGTGTACTGATTTTCTAAATAGAAACACAAAATAAGATACATAATAAATACTATCAATATCTATTAATTGTGTATGCAATAAGGACAGTTATCCATGTTTTAATATATGTACAAATGAATATTTATACCTTCGGTTGATTAAATTGATATTTTCTATAAGTAATACTAGCTGGTGTATTTTGATACATTGTCATAGAATCTTTAACACATAATTCTATGTCTATTTCAGGAAGATCAGAAAATAACAGAATACATTCATTAAAACCAGAAGTTAAAAGGGAGTCACGTAACTGTTTTAATATCGCCAAACCAACTAAAAGTGGAAACGAAGAATCTCCTAATAGAAGTTTATCCCACAAATGGAGTATTTTATGAAGTGGAAATACATCTAAAAAAATATTAATAAACTCGTCAATAGAAAAGTATTTCCATAATAATTATACATATATGATATAGTTTATACAACTTACGTGAAAACATTGTTAAAAACCATGGTATAGCAAATAATTCTGGTACAAAATTAATTGATCTGAGATGATTGGCCAATTGAGGGTCATGAAATGCTATAATTTGGGAAAATTTTCCTAAATATTCCTGTATGATGGCAGAATTATCCTTTAAAAAGAATTTATGAAGATATTTTGGTATAAACGCAGATAGACATTCAAATGCTCTAGCTAAAATGAAAGTTTTATGTATTAGAAATAGGATATAGCAAAAGAAAAAAATGATTAATTTATTACCTTCGTTGTTAAAATTAAGGTAAAGAAATGGAGCTGTTAATGAATCTAATCCTTGCCAATAAACATAATGAGGATTGTTTCGTACCCATGCCTTCAGTAATCTCTGTAATCTCTCGTGACCAGCACCAGACGACAATAGTTCACTGTATTGATGACATCTTGGTATGTCTACTTCTATCTAAGAGATTATTAATAACATTCACTTTTATAAAAACTAGCATAGTATAACATCAAAGTAAACTACCTGTCGATCTGTATGAGTGGGTGTCTCCTTATCAATCATATCATAGCGCTTCTGAATATCACCAGTAATACCGAGTAATGCCGCCCATACAGCTCCTCGAACTGGTGGTGGTATATCTTTATGCGCTTCTTCTATAATTGCTTCTCTAGTAATTGGATAAACCTAAATTATAATCAATTATAATATTCATGTTATGACAGATTAGTGAAACCGAAATATTTACTCTTTATAATAAATTTTTAATAAGTTTAATCTAACATTTAAGTACTCTATAAATCATAATGTACAAACAATCAGTGTTTCTGAAATTAAGAAATATGATGTAGTACAATTACCTGTAATAATCTGTTATATAAAATAATTCTATAAAATTGATATTCTGTATCCCTCTCTCGTATAATTAAAGGTAGTTGAGAGGCAGCATCTATTAAATCTTCTTGGGACTGAACGTGCATTCTATAAAAGAAATAATAAAAAAAATAATAAATTACAACTTAATGATAATTAATAACTTCGTTATACTTACTCATTTGTTAACCATGGATAATTTGCTATATATGGAATATGAGATAATCGTTGTCTGAGCGTATCAAGAGGAACTTTGATCACACGCAGATCAAGTAAGCCAGCAGTATCTCTATGTCCAAACATTTGACCTAAAAGTATAACTAAACTAAAAACAAACATTAATTAATTGTTTTTCGTTTTTATAAAATATGTTTATAGAGTTTTCATAATTACTTTGGAATAGATAGAATAGGTGGTCTTGATCTGATAAGTCCTTGTTTCTTGAGTTCTACAGTAATGTCTCCACCTGCCAATTGCCATAAATAGTATAACTCATCCATTTTTCTAACAATAACATTTTTGTAAAGATTTTCTTGCTCTTCCTTTTTACTTTTCAATAAAAGTTCTTTGAATATTGGTAATTTTAACAATTCCTCTGGTATTTTACGTTTTGAAGGATGGATTTGAAGACAACAATCTACAAATTCTTTCACTTTGTCAGGTAATTCCTGATATAATAATAAATTATTAATATGTTAAGAAGTAGTGAAGGGTTACAATAAAGTATGAACAAAAATAACAACCATATAACTGTTATAGTAATTATTTTCTCTTGCCAGACGTTCAAATACTGAAGTTTCACAGTGTATTAAACTAAGAACTTTTCTTAAACATTGAGATAATTTTACACCTGACCATATTGGTCCTCTTAAAAGTAATTCTGCAATAATCATACCCAAAGACCAAGAATCTACTTTTGGACTACTAACGCAAGGACTCAAAAATACTTCAGGTGCTGTATACTTTGGATAACTACAAATAAATATAAGTAATTAATTTTCATATATATTGTTTCTCTATGAATTATATTTAAGTAGATAAAGTATTTTCCTTATACATACCCTATAGGAAAAGAAACATGTTTTCCACAATCTGTCATATAATACAAACCACAGTTATATAGTTGTACATTTCCACTTTTATTGATGAGTATATTTTCAGGGCTTAAATGTCTATGCACTAAATTTAAAATATTCATGTGCTGCAAACCCAATAAGCATTGGAATGCTATTTTCATAATATCATCTGTACTCAGGTTTTCTTTACTGCTTAATGGATCTCCATTGTATTCTGTCACTACTACTATTCTTTCTATAAAGTAAATTATATTGTATAATATTAATTTATATCATATAATTCAATGAAAACTTTATTATAATCTCAAATTTATGATCATTACCATGTTTACTTCTTATTATATCAAGATAAGTTGATAAATTTGGATGATGAATAGTTTTCAAAAATTGTGATTTTCCATATATAGTTATAGAATTTGGTGTAAGTGGTAAACCATTACTACCACAAACCTCAATTGGATGGCTTTGTGCAAAAAATGTCATTCCACCAAAACACCGTTCCTCATTTTCTAAAAGTGCTGGGCACATTTTTAAATCTAAAGACAACACGATTATTTTATAAAATAGTATTAAATTTATTACTTTAGCGCTTTGATAAATGTAAGAAAATATGTATTCAGTTACATGTAAAGATATGGAAATATTTATGTATACGTAAAAATACTCTTCCTATGTTGCATTACAGATCATAAAAAGTAAATGCATATTATACGTACTTACACAATTAATTAATATATTATTTTACAATTTCAAAACAAGTTGATAGAATGTATTTATGCCATTAACCTCGATACTGTGTTTATGACAGTCACTAGTTATAAACGAAATGCATTTAAATATTTTTTAGACTTACATTTCCTCATAATTAAATTACTTAAAATTATTATTTAGTAAATAATTAAATTTATATTTTGTTTATTACAGTAAATCTTACTACATTCATTGAAAAGTATGACATTTCTCCGTTTATATCATGAACGGTGATATTACATGAATGGAGAAAGTGGCTCTGTATGAAAGGGCAGCACTGTATCTAGGGACAAATTGAAAAAGGCAATGATAACATAAGATCAACATTGTATTACAGATGAGGTATAGGATACATAGTATTGCAAGCTTATGAGGCTTGATATCACATATTATGAATTATCGACTGTGTAAAAAATCAGAAATTTTGCTCTGCCCTCTACACCCAGAGAACGGTGAATAGAAAAACTACATCAAGCAAAGTGATCGAAGTTTATCAAGTACATAGTAAATACTTACACTGACGAGATCGCCTGTGATATTATATTTATCGATAAATTTGTTGTTTCGAACTGTTTAGTAGTTATAACAATTGCTTTTTTGTGCGATATTGTTAGATACTCTTTAAATTATTTTTTCATGCTAACTGTTATTCAAAATAAACGGTGAAGATATTGAAGAAATTTTTAGGCAAGAATGTGTTTCAAAGAATTTTTACATTAAATACATTTTATTTTATTATATCATTTACTGATTTATGAAATATTATTAAACAGTCTGTCGGCTATTTTATGAACTTATAAATTGTTGTTAAACATAGCATATAGAAATCAAAATATAAAGTAATTTTTAAGACATCTTGTTTCGGAGAATTTTGATATTAAATTATTTGATATTAAATTATTGTGTAGGTACACAACAATTGCTTTTTCCTAGTGATATTAAATATCACAGACAAGGTGTAAACTCGCTATGTAAATACCGGTGTATCGGTTTGAATGTAATTCTTAAATTTGCCACTTTTAATCGTAGAGGGCATACCAAACGTCTGCTTTTTTTTTACACAATCGGTATTTCAGACTACCGGATACGAAGTTCCATAAGCTGTCCAGTGAATCCTGTTTTTCGTCAGTGATGTCACTAAAAAATAGCAAATAGGAGCCTCATCTGGCGACGAAATCAATAACTACCATGCAACGGACCACAAGCTTTCTAAATCTGTGTCCGCGGAAACGCAATGAAAGCACAGCCATCTAACGGTCGCGGAAGGAGTGGGAAAATAAGTTTCACAGACTTAAGATACTTAAGCTGTGTAAGTTTCCGTATCTCGATTGTTTCGTAGCTCTATTTGTGAACACGTCAGGAGTTAACGTATACGTCCGTAACATTGGTCGGTGAATGATCGTGGAAAAAATGGCGAAGTTCTACGCATAAAGTCGATCGTCAACAGAGTTGACAGAAACTTATGAAATCGGCTAATGTCAAACGTGACAGGCGTAATGTACGAAAAATGTTCACTCTAGTCCGCGCCGCCTTGGTGCGTTTTGTGTGATCGGCTGGATTGCTTTGCACAAGCATTCGGAATTGGGAGAGGAAGCAACGGAAGAAAAAAAACGGGGAACCTGAAAATTTAGGTGGTTACGAAACGTCATAGATCACAACACGGAACGGGCCACTTCAAGGCAAGACGTTCCACTTCGTTCTCAGTGGAGACTTCGAAACATAAAAATAGTGATAATGCGAACGACTGTGTATCACCGGGTTCAACGGTGGAGTCGCGATGACCTGATTCAATCCTCTCGCTCTAAAAGTGTATTCTGATTTTAAATCGTGTGTCGTACAAGGTTATGTGCAGTTATGCGTCTGACATTTGGATCCCTTGCAAACGTTCGTCAAAGTGAATCATTTAGCCGTATTTGGCAGTTAGTGCGACTTAAAGTTACGATTGATTTCAAGTTGTGTAGAAAGACCAATTTATGTTTCTTTAACGATGTTCTGCTGCTCGAATTTTTCTTAAAAGAATCTCCCGAAATACTACACGAAGTAAAGTCGAAGTACTAGCTGCCTAGAGTTGAGTGTAATACTATCGTTTTTTATATCCTATTAACGCGATCGTGGAAACACCACTCGCTCGCATTTGCAGTAATTGATGCTTAGCTTTCTTCTATTGTTGTGCAATAACGTTTATGACGTGTCATAGTTACTTCGTAATATTAGCTCCTTACCTGGCAAAATGCCTAAAAAGTAGTTTCATATCTATTACACTGCTTTGTTGAAATTGAAAAATGAAGTATATATTTATACCAGTAAAGTAAAATAATTCTCATATATTTATTTTGAATTGTCATGTTACAGGTGTAACAAATGAGTCAAATAGAAATGGATCAGGAAACAGTATATGGAACACATGAAGACAGTCATGTGGTCATGTCGGAAAAAGTCCAGGCTCTGGCTGGCAGTATTTATCAAGAGTTTGAGAAAATGATAGCCCGTTATGACGAAGATGTGGTAAAAGACTTAATGCCGCTCCTAGTCAATGTTCTAGAATGTCTAGACATATCTTATACCGAAAATCAAGAGCGCGAAGTCGAATTAGAATTATTAAGGGAAGATAACGAACAATTAGTTACACAATATGAAAGGGAAAAACAATTACGAAAAACATCTGATCAGGTATGACATCAGTTTCTGTGATGTAATAGTTTTCAATATTAATATTTTGATTTGTCTAATGTACAATGGTTGTAAAAGAAATATAACACTTATGTTTTATCAATTAGAAACTGCTTGAACTTGAAGATTCTGCAGAAGACGAAAGGAAAGAACTTTTATTAAAAATTGATAGCTTGGAATCAATAGTAAGGATGTTGGAATTGAAGACAAAGAATTCACATGATCACGGTACAAATGTCAATGGCTCTACCAGTCCATTCCTTCACAGAACATCCCTCTACAGTAGAGTAGATTGTTTTTTTTTTGTTTTATGT